ATTGCCCAGGGTCACTGTGTGTCAGAAGCAGGAATTGAACTCAGGTCTTCCTGACTCAAGGCCGGCTTCCAGCCCATCTTCCCTGTTGCCTCGTAAGCTATTGTTGCTTGTCGTGTTGAACTTGAAGTACTGGGGTCCAGGTGGGAAGATCCAACAGGCCTCTGGAAGTAGAGGGCTAGGGAGGTCCAGGGCTTCAAACAAGGATTTTGAGGTCATCTTCATAGAACAGATGAATGCTAAAGCAGAATGATTTTTGTACATTGATTCCTGGTTACTTTTAAGCACTCAGCCTGGAATACCAGTCATTGGCAAAATTTACTCAATGTAGCCCTACTAGTTAAGCCCCCCAACCTATGGACTTGAGCCCTGAGAAGGTCTTACGCAGTAGTTGACCATGCAGTCTTTTTAGTGGTTTGTTGACATTACATACGTGTGTGTGTGTGTGTGTGTGTGTGTGTGTGTATGTGTGTGTCTCCATCCAGACACAAGACAGAACAAGGGCTGGAGTGAATCTAGTTAGTGTTTGCCTCCTTATTTGTGGAATATTTGAGTGATGGGTGTTCACTTTACTGGTGAGTGAGTACCTTCAAGCTGCCACCTTCCCCAGCAGCCAGTCTCAAGGATCTGCATTTTGAGCTTGTGTTAGCTTTTTTCTAAAGTTTCCCTCTGCTCTGCCTGGTCCCCTGGATTTCCTGATTAAGTCTTCCACTTAAAAGTATAACTCGAAGCTGCCATCAGAGATTCTTTCTGAATTCCAAGACAGTGTAAATTGTGTTGTTCATTTTCAATACCCCTTCCCTCTAAGTGTTACAGAAAATGAAAAAAAAAAATCATGGTTACAAAAACAGAATTCATGTACAGGTGAGGAAAGCAGGTTTTTTTCCCTCTCTCTGGCCAATAATTCACACAGCCGTTGGCAGGGTAGCAAGAGAACCTGTAGATACATGGAGCAATAGAAAGGGGAATTTAACCAGGTAGCTCCAGGTGTATGGGAAAGAATATAGACACATGCAAAAGTTATTTTAAAAAAAACAAACTTTAGGACAAAGACTGAAGATGACAGATTGAGTGGGTAAACTGAAGCAAGAAAATAAATAGTAATTAGTTGGGAATCAGCATGAGTGTAGTGTAATAACTGGGCTGGGAAAGAGAGTGAAAGTGTTTTATCAGTAGCTGTTTAAAAATGTAGGAAGACACAATACAGCAGTACCACCTTCTGTGACCTCAGAAATTGAGGAGGATTGATCTGGGAGCTGAGGGATGAAGGAAAGTAGAAGGAAAGTATTTCTGTAAAGAAACCAGCGGCAGACAATCCTGCAGCTGAACAGAAAAGCAGATCAGGGTTCAGCAGCAGAGAGCATTCATTCTCAGCCCACTTTTCAGATGTGGGAACTTCAGCAAGCTGGTTACCATTCTTTAAATCTGATGAGAGTTCCGGGGAGCTCTGAAGAGCCTCGCTTCTTCTTGCTTCTTTGTGAGTTCAGGAGTAAATGTGTGATCAGGTGTTAGCCTGAGAAAGAGTATGTGGGGGGGGGGGGTGGAACTTCGATCAAGATTCTGAAGCACATCATCTTTTAGAAGCGTGCAAAATACTGGTAAAGGCCAACTGACTGATAATTATGCCGGTTATACTACCCACTAAACAACCCTGCCATGCAACACAGCATTTATTATTTTATTTTGACAAAGTGATTCTTCTCTTTTTTTATTTTATTTTTTTAGTTCAGTTGGGAAAGAAGACTGGTTAGAGTTCGGAACTGTTGCTCCCCTCAAAAGTTTTCCGTGCAGCCTTCTGGGCGCTCTAGACTGGAGATAGGACTTGCCTGATTGCTGTACCATGATGGGCCAAAGGAGCGGGTAGAGAAGAGTGTGAGGCTAGGGTGTCTGTGTGGACTCTGTCGCTTCCATCGCTTTCCCCATCAGCATTTTAGTTCCAGAGTTCTACAGACTGTACCAAGTGAATCAGGGCGATCCTTGGCGTATCATGCGGGGTAAAATCATGTTGAAGTGCTTTTTTCTGTGAAGGTGGAAACCGTTGTTCCTCTCACACTTTGATAGAGGAGGTATCAAAGAAAAAGCCTTTTTCAAAGCCTGTTTCAAAAGTACCTGACGTGTTTATGTAGAAGGTAAACAGGCTTTTTGTCCTACTTTTTTCTTAAAGTCTGTGGGTGAAATTGTCTGTTGACCCAAAGAATGAAGAGGAAGAACCCAAATAAAGTTTCATCTGGGTGCCAAGCAAACCTAATTATTATATTTCCACGTTTTCCCATATTTTCTTTGCTGAAGGGGCAATGAGAAAGGAAAAAATTGGACTCCTTTGATGTGAGGAGGGAGAAAAAAGCAATATATCACTTCTGAAAGAACATTTCTCAGTCTCTCATGTGAAAAAGGATTAACACCTCCAACAAAGGTCCTGCAGGTCACAGAACTGAGAAGCTGGACTGATAAGTATCCATCCCTAAGGAGAGAAAAACTGTATTTAAGTTTGATTGTTGGGATCCAGAAGCTTTTTAATTGCTGCAGACCTGAGATAATGGTTTAAATCTTCTTGCAGTATCCACACTTAAACTCTTCAAGAAAAGGAAACTTGTTTAAATTAATTAAAGGCAGCATTTGTTTTTGTAAATGAACTCTTATTTTAACTCATCAGAATAACAGTTACTTCCTGGGATGGTTCAGTGCATCAAACTTCAGCTAACATATTGTTTTGCTCTTTTGGGGTCTTCTTGATCAAGGGAAATTCCATTTCCTAGTTTTTTCTTCTTCTGGTTAACACTGGGGTGAGGGGGGTCAGTGGAATCGCTTAAGAAACTGCTTTAATTTTTAAAAAAAAAATTTTTTTTGATGAATTATTGGCCAGAGAGAGGGAAAAAACCCTGCTTTCCTCACCTATAAAAGAATTCTTGCTTCATAGAGTTGTCAAGAAAGCACATTGTGAATCTTGGAAAAGTTATTATTGTAAAGAGATTGTAGAAAGGAAGAAATAGTACTTCATGTGTGAAAGTGCTCATGTCTCCCGGCCTTTTTTTTGTTTTCCTTTTTTAAGTCTGGACGTCTTTAAAAATTGAGTCCATATTTAAAAAGAAAAAGTTAATGAGCAAATAATTATTAATAGCAACACCTTGCAGTTCTATAGTGCTTTATGCTTTTCAAAGCACTTCCTGCCAATCTGACGCTGGAAACAGCCCCCTTTTTCTGTCAGTCTGACTTGGGGTGTCTCCTCTGTTTGATCCTGCTCTAATGAAAGCTCCCAGGGCGAGGGGAAGAAAAGGAACCAGTGCAAGGCGATCAGAGTCGATGATCTTCCCAGGCTTTTATCAGAAAAGAAATTTGGGCAGCTCTGGCACAAATATTAAAATGCAGCATTTTTTTGGGTGCAAACAGACAGACAGATCCCATGTTGGGCTGAGGCATTATTTAACTTGATATTTGCAGGACAGTATTTGGGGTAAACAGCAAGCAACCTCTTGACCTTTCAGTAAATACCCAAATAAACCTTTGAAATTGGGTGGTTCGCTGTTTTATGGCATAGAATAAAAATCTCCAATTGCACCTAATAGTGGACCTTGAACACATTTGATTAAGCTCTTGACACTTTGGGTAGTATGTATTTGGTAAAGTTCCTGTGGCTATTGTTTTACAGTCGTGCCCTGCAGGACCATTGTAGGGGTTTCAATTAATTAGCCCTTTGTGTGCTTGAGACTATGCAAATTTATCACATCAAACCATTCCACAGCTCATGGGAAAGCCGTGTAAAAAACAGCGTTGTCTTCTAGCGCCTCCTCTCATTTAGAGTGATGTTTTAATAAGAAAGCTAATCAAGTTTTCCTATGCATTATTTATCTGTTAACATGTAAGGAAGAGCTGAATTAAAATTATGTCAACCAGGATGTGCCCAGTGACGTGATAGATCTGGAAATGATTCAGCTGCAGGACAAAGCTACTATGTTTCGACAATTTTTGTCCTCCCTTTTGGGATTGATTGGGGGGTAGTGGTGTGTAGGGGGAATGGTTAACTTGATAATGAGCATTGGTGGAGGGAAAGGGGAGAGGAAGGATCGCTTCATTCAGGATTCAAATTTGCATGCAGAGATCCCGATTTCTGATTATTTAAAGGTTCAAAAGACAGAAGTTTATTCTGGACAAAACGTTTGTTCCACCATAATGACACGTTGGTTCCGAAGCTTTCCTCCCGTTCTTTGGGCCTGGTCCCTTCTTAGCGACACGTTCCTTAGCAGTAAACCTTCTATCAAGTTTTATAGACTATCAGCCCCGGGCATGATGGGGTTAAAGTTATTATAGGAACTCTCTTACTAACGACAAATGACCTAACCAGATCCATCCAGGACTGGTCTTCTTTTTTCGCCTTCAGCAAAAATCAGTAACGCTGCTACTACCTTTGTTCATTAACTTATTCCCTTTGCTGTGCCAGTGTGCTTCCTGCTGAGAATAATTGAGTTCATTAATGATGAGGATGAGGATGGTAATTATTATACTACCTTGTATTTGTATATAGTAAGCTTTCTTGCCAGGACCTTCGAGTGCTCTGTAGGTATTAGCTATTGTTTTCTCACAACGCTTAAAACAGTAGATAGTAGTTACTCCCACTTCAGAAACCAAGAAACTGAGGCCCGTCAAAGTGAAATTGAGTTTTACCCGTTGGCACAGGGGCGTCAGTCTCACTTGCCTGTGTCAGAATGATGTCCATTTCACACTATCATATAATACACCGTCTTACTCTTCTTAGAATTAGATGACCAAGAAAATAAGATGCGGTTTTCTTTTTTGGTTTTAGATTTTTATTAATAGGTTCCTAAGAAGTTTTCCTGACTAGAGGAAACTTTTATCCCTAAAAGATGCATTAAATGAAAGTAGACAATCTATCTTATTATAGAAAAGCAACACAGAAAACTGAGAATTCATATAGCCCACAGTTGGGGGTTGGGGGAAGAGTGTCTTGAGCTAAGGTGTAGGGATAAATTCTGTAAAAAAGCTTTCCCAAATTTATCGATCGAATTTCTTAGTGGAAGCTGGTAAGGGGATATGTTCTGGAGCTCCTTTCCTTTGCTAACCACCCAGCCTCTTCCTCTGTAGTAAGTGATACGAAAAACCCCATAAAATGCCTTCAGCCCAGCACTCAGTACCCAAGTGGTTCAGCTCTGGGGGACAAGGTCCTTTGCCACACTTAAGAGTTAGCAGAAAATGTGGTCAGTCTCTATGGAGCAAGCTTCTTAATCTGGTTCAGCCGAGTAACAGTACAGTGTGCTATTATTCAGTTGTCTCATTATAAGCCTCAGAATGTGTCTGAACTTCTTTCTGATTGTTGTTTTCCATTTTGGAAATATTCTAATAGAATAGTGGGTCCAGTGGAGGAAGCAGTAGTGGAGAACTCTACGGCCTGATGAAGGGGAAAGGCCCTCAGCTTATAGAGATGATGGTAGGCTCTGCTTTGTTACGGGTTTCAGGATTTCTCTCTAACACGGGCCGCACTTATCTCTGGTTCCTCACCTGGAAAGGGGTTGGGAGGAGCCAAAAACATGAAACAACCTTATTAGCATAAGTACTGTGTAGATGTGTTAATAATAATAATAATAGCGTTTGTATAGCACTTTAAAATTTGCAAGATATTTTACTAATAATCTTTTATTCTCACAACAACCCCGGAAGGTGCTAGTATATCACCCCCATTTTACAGGTGAGGAAACTGAGGCAGAGATTGTGACTTGTCCAGTGTCATAAAATTAACAGGTATCTGAAGCTGAATTTGAATCTAGGCCTTCTGGACTCCAGGTCCAACAGTCTTAATACTCTAATTAATAATGGTAAATAATAAGACAGTGGGGGCCAGAATTTAAATAAGGGTTGGTTGTCAGTAAAATAATTAATTATCCCATGCTCAACAGATGTTAAAATATTTTCTTTTTTTCTCTTAATTTTGATAATTATAATCAGATTAAAATAGGACCTCAAACTAGTCCTTTACTCTAGAGTTGGAGGGCTTAAAAATACCAAAAGTGACATAGAAGAATCTGTAGTTGGACATGCTTCCTGGGAGAATCAGGACTCCCTGGATCAGAAGGAGGGTGTGGGGCAGACCCAGCGCACTTAAAAAGTTAAGGTTTGCCACCAAAACAGACTCGCTAAGTTAGCACAGTCGTCTGGTTGGGGCATAGCCACTGTGAGAAGAGGCCCTTTGCTTTGCTTTTTCTGGATGCAGACTAGCCCTTGGACCAAGGAGCTTTGAGTTTCCTATTTGCTTTCATCTTTATAAAGTCCGTATTAAGCTTGGTGACATCAGAAGCTGCTGTTTTAATGATGGAAAAGTTTTCTGTTTTTGAGAAGCTCCCCTAGCTGGAGTTCCTACCGCACAGTTAGCTGGCCTTTTGAATTTTTTTAGGCATATTAACCCAGTGTATTTGCATTTCACTGCCAGGAGGTTGTGCTCTAAACAGTGGTGTTGAGAAACCAGCATGAGCCAGGGACTGAGATTTTATTTTAAAATATGAAATGCTGTGTAAGCATCTGAGCTATAAATTGGTAATTGCCTCACAACATTTTCCATTCGATATGGTTTATTTGTCGCCCATCCTCTTTTAGGGCTTTCAGGGAAGTATTAACCCATTGAAACAAACTGCATATCATTTACATTTTTAAACCAACGTTGGAGGAAAATGACCATAACATTTAAGAGTTTAAATATCGGGAGGAATTTTACGCCCCAGTCCCTAGAGAAAATACAGATTTGCCGTTTTGTGTGAAGGATGAAGAGAAACTTTGCTGTTATGATTGATTAGAGGCATGGATAATTCTGAAACTGAAGAAAGGGGTTTTTTGTTTGTTTGCTTGTTTGTTTTTTAAGAAACTATCTGGAGCTATGATGGGGAAGTTTTTGTTGAAGGCTGAACTTTTCCACTGGCCAAGCTCATTTGAGATCATCAGATTCTGTCTAAATATTTTGTTTTAACTTCTAAGCTCATTATGCCCTCTTTGTGTTAACTTGTATTAAAATCTGTCAGCTATGACTGGTCTCATAAGCACAGTCAGCGGACCAGAATAAGTTAATTATTTACTTGTGGCACTAGTGCTCTTCATTTAATGAAATGCACAGCTGTGTTAGATCTGCGGAGGGATGTGTAGCCGCCATTGTTCGGCGAGTCAGCAGAGGGTAGAAGCCGCAGTGATGGAGAGCCCTCGGCTCTTTCTGCTGTTCTGCCTTTCTGTGTCGATTTCATGCATCTTTTATCATTCACTTTCACACAAAACAAACAACACAGAGCTGTCTGCTATGGGAACCATTTTGGCAGAGAAAAGGGTCTTCAGAGCCTCAAGTAACTTTAAGTTAGGGAAGATTTAATTTTTGGCTTACAGGTGCCCTTGGTACAGATGCAGCCTAGGGATTTCCTAAAAGTGAGGGGAAAAAAAAAAAAACCAAAAGTTTCATTTTTATTAGAAAAAAAAAAGTCCTGTAAGAAAAGAGTCTTCAGAAAGGGAGTTGTGGTCTAGATTTCAATCAGATTTCAGTCAACAGTCTTAAGAAACGGAGATTTAAGAAGAATTTATCTCATCTTGATAACCAGACTGCATTTGGGAATAAAACATCAGCTAAAACTTAAAAGGGGAGAGCGTGTTATCTTTCTGCTCTTCCCATCTCCAGGAGCATGCCATGCTCAGTCTGTTAGTTCATGCACCTATTTCCCCACACCCCCACTTTCTCTTCTTGGAGGGTGGAGGAGTAGCTCCCCTCCTGAGTAGACGCCAGCACCCCCCTGTGAACTGACTGGTGAGGGGGGGTGCCTGGTTTTTGTTTTGGAGTATGGGATTTTTTTTTTAAGAGATGCAACTACATCAGCCATCTCTCAGCACTCTCCCTAATCCAAAATTATATCCCTTCTGGAGAAAAGTCATGGGGCCAGCCTTCTCACTGACTTTTTTTTTTTTTAACATTTTTGTGTCCTGACAGACAATGTTTGTGTCTGTGAACCTAGATTTACAATTTGATCCTTTTCAGACCAGCCTTCCTGGTAGTCCCAATGTTTTGTCAGCAAAATTCAATGTGGACATGATGGATTTTTAGAGCAGGGTGAGGAAGGATTAAACCTCACTCTAGCACAGATAAGAATGTACTTAACTAGCTAACCTCCTACTAATGCCTGCTAACTTCACCATCCACAGACTCAGTGGGGATGCTTTAGTGTTAGGGACATTAGAAACCCAATAATAAAGCAAATAAGTACCCTAACATTCAGCTTCACAAATGTGACAACTGTGTATTCAGCCTACCAGAAATCTGAGTACTATTAAGCAAGTAGTTTTTCTCCTCTCCACCCCCCCCATCAGCACTTTAGAAAATATATGTAATTTTAGACTTTAAGCCAGAGTTTTTAAAAATGGTTTTTTAACTCTGATTGTTGATCACAAGACCAAAAGAATGAGTGATTGTGGTGCACCGAACGTTTCTTCCAGAATCACTTACCTTTCAGTGTTCTGATGATTTGATCCATTTCTAAATATAATACAAAATACTCTGACAGTCTTCTGGGACTTTCAGGTTGACAAAGCCATTTTACATGCGTTATCTCACAGTGACTCTGGGAGGCAGAACAGATGAAAGGTTGGCATCCTTTGACCGACATAAGATCATTTTCCTCATTTGACTTGTCCTTAGCCACTTTTATTGTGAACTGATTTTCCAATACTAAATCATATTCCTTATTTGTATTCCTGTAACTAAAAAATCAGAGAAAGCAAACTAGACCCGGCCTCTTGTTTAGTAGCATCATTTTCATTTCTAAAAGATGTGGATGCTCAGATAACACCGACGTTCACTTAGCTACATTTAGAAAACCTGTACCTTTTTTATGAGTTTTTGGTCCCAGGAGTCCGGGAATCCTAATTCATAGTTACTGTCCTTAATGCTGGGGATGGCTCAAGAATTGATTTTTCTTGTTAAACTTTACACTTTGAGCCAATAACAAACTGTCCCCTGTATGTTACCCTGTAGATTGACATTGTGATTCCTTGAGGCCCTTTAGGCTCAGCCACAGGAACCTTGGACAAACAAAGGAACTGAGTATTTGCAACTGTGTACACAGACCTGTGAGCACATCAGAGACAAATTAGCCCTTCTTATTTGAAAATTGAATCCTAAACTTCTCCCTGGTTTAATTGCATGACAGCTATGTACAGTAAAGGTGGGGGGGATCGAATCAGGAAACTGTCCCTGTGACTTTGGTGGGGGAGGGAATTGGAGCCTCCTGACATTGCCCTCAAAGGGTGAGATTGTTACCGGGAGGAGGTTGTAGGTGAAACCTCCAATATTCACTCATATTTGAGGCTTCAAGTTAGATGAGCAAACTGTCAGTGCATTGTTTTTAGCTGCTACCTGGAGGGAATTGTTGATCCACCAGGCTGTCTATGAGATCTGTTGGAAATTCTTTGGTGAATGAAATTAGGGATTTCCTTTCACTCCAAACCTTTCTTCCTCCAGGTGTTTGTGGGTTGATCGTCCCTCAGGAAGACATGCCGTTCTGTGATTCTGGAATCTGCCCTGACATCATAATGAACCCTCATGGTTTCCCGTCACGGATGACGGTCAGTTGCTTTGACTTTCCTTAGAAAGTGCTACTTTTTAGAGAAAGATTGGATTAGGAAAATTGTCAGTATAATTGATCCTGTCTACAACAAAATTAACAGAAACCACATGATCATCTCAATAGATGCAGAAAAAGCTTTTGACGAAATATAACACCCATTCCTGTTAAAAACACTAGAGAGCATAGGAATAAATGGAGTCTTCCTTAAAATGATAAAAGTAGCATCTACCTAAAACCATCAGCAAGCATTATATGTAATGGGAATAAGCTAGAAGCATTTCCAATAAGATCGGGGGTGAAACAAGGATGTCCATTATCACCACTGTTATTCATGATGGCGCTAGAAGCGTTAGCTTTAGCAGTCAGAGAAGAGAAAGAAATTAAAGGTATTAGAATAGGCATAGAAGAAACAAAGCTGTCACTCTTTGCAGATGATAGGATATACTTAGAGAATCAAGAAAGGTTGGGCAGGTGGTTTTGTCCCTGTCACTGGAGGCATTAAAAACTTAGAACTTTGAAGTAAAGATTTTAGACAGTGCTGTCTTGCCCTAAGTTACCTGGGAAATAGTCAAATCTCTATCCTTCTGCTGTGGCTACCTCCTCACCCCCACATACGGAAGCCCTTGGTTGGTGTTTACGCTAAGTAGAGAGAAGGGACATTTTTTTAACTTTGCTTTGTAGATCAGAGTCACCTGAGTAACTTGCTTTTAACAAACTAAGCAATTTTCTTCCACACGCGGGCGTCTTCCGGATGAATAGAGTGTTTTATGGCATCTTTTCATTCCATTAGTACCCTGCTAGGGTCCCTTAGCGGTTTGGCAACACTGGGCATCCTAGGGAGGGGTTTTCCCCATGGTCCCCTTACCATAATGTCCTGATTGGTCTCTGGGTTCCCAAGGCAGGCCTGGGACATTTTGAATAGTGTTTCTCATATTGATCAAACATCAGCCTCCCCAGTACAGCTTGTGCAAAGTGCCTCTAATGCAGCATATGGTTGCTGTTATTCTTCAGGGCATATGTGTGTGTGTGTGTGTGTGTGTTTATATTTTTTCAAAGTGATCTCACTTTGTACAGTACAGTAATTCTGTATGGTTCAGTCTACATTTGAGGACAGACCGTATTCAGACCAATATGGCATACTTTGGATCAGAATAATGCTAATCTTGTGAGGCAGTTTGGTAGCCAGCTAGATCTTGGTGTTGTCTTTTTCCCCGTTAGCCCATTGGTATATACAGTGTTGGTACACTCAGATAAGTTTATTTATGACACTTGATGGCACACCTATTGAGAAAATATCCAAGTGTGTTTGTCTCTCTACCTGCTTGCCTACCTACATAAATAAATACAAAGTATACATGGTGCCATCCCCACATTTTTACCTAGGGTCGATTGTGCCCAACTCTTTCCTCTCCATTGCCAAACAAAACAAAATTAAAAAGCACCTGGTCCAGTGTAAACAAAAAGAATTTTAGAACAGTGAGACTCTCATCCTAGAGTAATGAGGCTGGAGGAGACTCCCTCCAGCAATCATCTGCTTCCGTCCTTTCCGGACCTACAGGAAGGTAAAAGTCTAAGCCATCCTGGAGAAGTGGTCATCTCTTCTTTTCTTGAAGCTCTGTGTGAACAGTCATTCTGTGACCTCCGTCAAGAAGTCATTCACAATATCACTTGGAAGGCCAAGAGTGTCTAAAGTTCCATCAGAATCCTCCCTGCTCTGATTCTCTTCTCTTGCTGGTATGCTCCAGATAGAGAGAATAGCCGATCATCATTCCCCTCATCAAATCCTTTTCAGTACCGAAGAGAGTAATCAAGTTGAAAATAATTAATAACCCAAACAGTACGAACACAGGATGTTCTCATTGGCTGGCTAGAACAAACCACTGCTTTCTTTTCCTCCCTCCCCACCGCTGCTTAGAAAAGCAAAGGGTTAGAGTTGGTCACAAGGTAAATATGAATGAGCAGTATACTGCTCATGTTACTATTATCAAAATTATAAAACATTATCTTAAAATGAACCTGATATACGTCATCCAGGAAATAATCTCTCAGTTATGTTCTGCAATTAGATAAACCTTTGGTTATCATATTTCCAAAAGGATGTGAGGAAACAGGAGAGCATATAGAGGATGCCAAAAATGATTCCTCTGGAAAAAGTTCCTGTAAGGAAAAGCTACAGGGACTGAGGCAATTTCACCAGAGAAGAGCTAGCTGAAACATGAATTAGAATCAGAGAATCTTTTTAAATTTTTTTTCAATTTGTCAAGCATTTTTTTCTCCTTCCCACCTCCTCCACACATCCTGAAAATAAAGAAGGGAAGAAGGAAAGGAAGGAAGGAGGGAAGGACAAAAGGAAGGAAAGAAAGACAAATTCCCATGCATCCAAAAATATTTTTCTCACTCTTCTTATCAGTCCACCATCCCTCTGCCTTGAGGTGCGCAGTATTCTTCTTTGTCAGTTCTCTGGAATCATGGTTGATTATTTCATCGATCGGCGTTCTTAAGTTTTTCATAATTGCTTGTTTTTACGATGTTCATCTTATCATATAAATCGTTCTCTTGGATCTGCTCACTTCTCTCTCCATCAGTTTGTACAGATCTTCCCAGATGTCTCTGGAACCATCTTTTGCTTCATTTCTCACAACACAATAGTATTCCATTACATTCACATACCATAATTTATTCCCCATTCCCCACTTGATGGGTGTAACGGCCGGCCCCCCCACCCCCACCCCCACCACCCACACAGAAAGAACTGCTACCGTTTTTGTAGGCAGAGTTGTTTTTCCTCTTTTATTTCTTTGGGTTGTAGGTCTAGTAGTGGTATTGCTGAGTCCCAGGGCATGCATACTTTACTAACTTGGGGGGCATAATTCCAGCCTGTCTTTTTTGAATGGTTGTACCAATCCCCAGCTCCACAGACAGTGTATCAATATGCCTGTTTTCCTGTAGCTTTCAACATTTGTCATTTTCTCTTTTTTGTCAGCTTTGCCAGTCTAATGAATGTGAGTTGTTTTGATTTGCATTTCTCTAATTACAAGTGATTTAGAGCCTATTTTCATATGGCTGTTGAGAGCTTGGTTTCTTTCTTTGGAAACTGCCTGCTCATCATATCTTTTGATCATTTTATCAATGGGGAATGGCTCTTATTTTTTATTTTTTGGGGGGGAGGGTGCCTAGGTAATGGGATTAAGCTACTTGCCCAGGGTCACACAGCTATTAAGTGCCAAGTGTCTGAGGCTGGATTTGAGCTCAGGCCTTCCTAACTCCAGGGCTGGTGCTCTATCCATTGCGCCACCTAGTTGCCCCAAATGGCTCTTACTCTTACAGAGTTGAGTGAGTTCTTGGAAATGAGACCACTGTCAGATTTGCTGCAAAGATTTGTCCCTCAGTTAATTTTTACCTTGTAATCTTAGCTTCCTTCAACTTCTGCCCTCTTTTTCTCAAACTTTCTTTCTTTTCCTATTTGCATTAATTTTGTTCACACCAAAACTTTTCAGTTATATATAATCAACCCACACATGGTTTTACATTTACTTTATTTTACAAGTATGGATGGCCAGGTTGATTTCTTTTTGGTTACAGCATTGAAGTATATTATGGGTTAAACTGGTTCTTGTGGGCTAATTCGGGAACCTAACTACATTTTCTTTATGGGAAAATGTGTTCTGAGTTCCAAACAAGTGACTGACAAACAGACTTTTAGGCTTTAACATACTTTTCAGTTGGAGACTATTGATGTACCCCTTTAATCACTGTCAGAGAGTGAGCCTGTCGGTTCACTGAGTGTTTGAGCTCAACATGCTGCCTTCTCCAACCCACTTCTGGCATTTTTTCCCCCATAGAAGTAATTAATTTGTTCCCATTGTCAAAGGAAACTGCAAGTATACTTTCCCACATACTCCTTAATTTTTAATATAAAAATTAGTCAACATTGTTGTATTTTAATTGAGTCAAGAGATGACTTTAAAAAAAATAAAAAAGACAGTTGAAGCTCTCCATGCCACCCAGGAGGACCATGCTTTGTCAGATGTGTTTATTCACCCTTTCTTCTTCCCGTCACTTTTGCAAAAACGAACCCTTAACATGAGTCTCGTGTTTTTTCTTATAACTTTGACAATGATAGAGAAGGCTTTTTTTTTTCAGTATCAATGTGCATTTTAAAAGGCAGTGCTCCTTCTTGTGGTGCCAAAGGACTGGAAACAGGAGATTCTTGGCTGTCGATTGGAGGATGGCAAAACAAGGGGCGGTGTATGAATGGGACAGAAAGTCACTGTGCTTTGAGAAATGCCAATATGCTAGATACAAAGAAGAATGGAAGGCCACGAACTGATGCAAAAAATAAAATAAAATCAGCAGAACCAGGAACACAGAATACATGACCCACAAGAAAATGAAACTGAATGCTGCGAAATTATCATGACTGAATCCTGCCCTGAAGAGGAGTGAGGAGAAGACACTTGTCTACGTTCTTAGTGGGAGTCAGGATCTGTGGGTGTGCAACACTCAAGATGTCTGACTCTTTTGATGCTTTGGTTAGTTTTGTCCAATTGCTTTTTCTTTTTTTTTAACTCTTTATAAAGAATGGCTCTCTGAAGGGTAGTGGAAGAGAGCTACGTTGAGAATTCTAAGTTCCATGGAAATAAAAAATCATTAAGAATGTATTTTTAAAAAATGAAAAATAGAGTTCTAACAATATGGTAAGTTACTTATAATAAATCAGGATGTCTAAGTTACCCACTAGCTTGGAGGGATCTCTTGCTTGAATATATAACATGCACTTAATGAATGTTACTCATACATCTTAATTGGTCCGAGCAAAAATCAGGGCCCATGAGAAGCAGGAACCAGGTGCCTTGGACTTACTTCTGGGTTAGTGAAAGGTAACAAA